CTGGAAACGAATTGTCGAGCTGAAACTACCACTCGATGTAAGTTCTTACAATCTCTTTTAATCAATCCGATCAATTCGGCCAATGTTCTCATCAATGGAGACTTACCGAATCGATTAGAGCTAAACATGCGGTGCTAACATAGACTAAATGGAAGATTACGATATTTTTCAGCAATACAGTGACTCCCAAGGCTACCAATGCCTTATGGAAGTACTCGAAACATACGACCAAGGCTTGTCAGCCCGTCTAGCTCTGCACTCTTCGGTTGGTTTTGAGTGATGCCCAGAATCCTCTCAGCACATCTCGGAAGCTTTTTAGGTATTTGGCATGGCGGTGGCATCAATGGGTACTAAGCGACATGACGATATCTTGGAAAAAACCAGAAGGAATGAGGTTTCCACTCTATGAGCTATAGAAATGGTTTGGTATCGCTTCGAATTCGCTGAAGTCTTCAGCCCTGATCGCTTCTTCTCTCAACCGCGTGGACCCCCATAACAAAAGTGACGAGCAAGTTCTGCCGATTTTGTTCAAGCTCTACTCACTCGAGGTGTGCTACCTCAAAAATAACTTAGCGTTCACTCTGATGGGTCCGATTAAGCAGATAGGAAGACTACGTTTACCAGATAGATTAAGAACTACGTTACCTAATTTAGGTCTAATTTTTTTCTAAATTTACTAGTGAAATTGGGAATTCGAAAGCCCTAATGGTATCCAGTATACAGGGGCAAAGACTACCAAATAGATGGATACGATCGTCAGCTCTCTGACCTTCCAACACCTTCTTCTGAATGATTGCCAATTTCAGATAGTTGGCTGCTTCTGCCTCACCGAGCTCGGTCACGGATCTAATACTCAAGAAATCCAAACCACAGCAACCTTTGACAGTGGCGAATTCGTTTTCAACTGCCCGTCCGAGCAGGCTATCAAGTGCTGGGCTGGGAACTTATGTATGAGTATACACTCTTTTGGGATTCTCTAAGAGGCAAGACTTTTTTTTGTACGCGAGCCCCTAGCCAGTTACATTTCAGCTCATTCTGCAACACATGCAGTCGTATTCGCTCAACTCTATATCCAAGGCAAATGTGAAGGAGTTCATGCTTTTGTATTGCAAGTCAGGTACGGTGTCATTTCTATAGAGAGTTTGAATCAAAAAACAGAGCAAAGGGACAACTAAAGGAGCGGAGCAGAGTTGGTTCGTTCTGTAATCTCGGATCACTGTTAAACGCGAAGTGCCTTGAATGGGAGGTGCGAAACTAACAAATAAGCGTTATTGCATATCTATACAGTTCGTTCACTGGCCCTTCTTGCATTCCAAGCCACTGTGATTCAGAATATCAGTCGATTACGTGGCGTACCTAAAAGATCAACAAACAAAGCTCCTTTGCTCAAAATTCAGCAAAGCCCGAAGCCCAGGAGGAGTAGTCACTTAATCTAACTGATCATGGTTCGAAAAGGTGCCTTCAGTCCTGTCCCTTGAAGGATACTCTAAACCCGATACCTAGCAAACCCTCGAGCTTGATTTCATTCCCTGCATTGCTCTCGACTATCCTTCAGGATGGGCATAGGTGGCAAGTTCGTTCTCCATGTACTGTACTGTAATATTATGGGCGAATGTGTAGTTGCAACTGTCGCACCACCAAACACGCTCGGACCGGGGATCGAATCCGCATGGATACTGCCCAGACCATCACACACTCCAGCTCTATTTTTTTACAGCGATTTATACCGTACTTCATGACATTTATATACTTTGAAGAGATCCATTGACGTTCGAGCCTCTTCCCGGGATTACCATTGGTGATATGGGCGAGAAACCCGGAGCATGGAATGGAGTCGAGAATGGCTGGATGGAGTTCAAGGTGATCTTTTGGTTACACCGCAACTTCAAAGTAAAATTACATCACCTTTGAAGGGAAATTTTTAATTTCTTTATACTGACTAGACAGTTTACATTACTGGATTGTGAGTAGATTTCAGAATCATCGCGCTCCAGTGTGGACTCTACTGAATAAGGGATGTGAAGTAACAGCCACCGGTAAATACGTATCCAGTTATAAGACGTCTGCTGAGCGACAATCTGTCAGTTTGGGAGCTTTGTCGATTGGGAGGTAAGGCGCACTATCTAATTCGTGGAGTGTTTTGGTGAAACCGACCGCTTCGCAACCGCGTGCGTCCGTGGGGTGCTATCATGCAGTCACTTAGGGATCCTTACCCTTGACTGTGACAGTGACTGTGATGACTGTGCTATTCGAATGGCTATATAGATCTTTCCTTCCTAACATTACCGAGCTTCAGGATTGGCATCATCGGTAAAGGTGTCATAGCAAGTGGACTGGCTGCAACTATTGCCATTCGTTACAGTGCTTGTCGTCGTCAGTTTGGAGAAACTAAAGGAGGTACGGTTTCTCCAAAACACCTTGATAATTGCTGACTGTGTGAGAGGCACGTGTCGGGACCGCCTGAGATCCTCAGTAGTGGTGGATGCTCATGATCAATCATCCTTCCCGAGAAAAAACCGAATGTAGATACGCCTCTACAGCAGAGTTTAAGATACAAACTCCACCTCTCATGTTTTCTGAGCTTACCAACCTCTTTACTGGTCATTTATTTGTCATTTTCAGATGAGCTCCCAGTCATCGAGTATCCTCTTCAGCAACATCGCCTATTTCCCTACTTGGCTGGACATTTTGCCATTCGGTTATTTCATAAAAAGTAAGCAATCACTAATAATTGTTTGAAGTCTCATTATCACAATAAATTACTGCCTCCAACACGGTCTCCGAGAAGCTTAACATTAAAGAGTTGCAGAATCTGCGGCTAGGTCGAGGGTTGGTTCTGATGGGTTCCGGTACTGACCCCCCTCCTCAGACTGTTCTTCGGTCGGCATCTGCAGCGGTTCAACGATGAACCTTTTTCATTGCCGTTTCTACTGCCTCTCTGATTTTCTATAATTTGTCGTTATGACGCATAGTCGCAACTTAGG